GGGAGGAATAAATGTCTGGACCGTTCTCCCTTCCCTGCTGTGATCTCCTGCCTGTTCCTCCCACCAGCCGTTCCCAGCCAGAAGCCAGGGAGCAAGGGAGCCTAGGTGATGCCCTCCAGGGTAGAGAATTGTTCTGGGGACAAAGGGACAGTGGCCACATACCGCCTCTTGGGCCATGAGAACAAATGCTGTAATGTGTGGAGTGGTAGCAGGGAACCCTGGCTACACAACAGTTAAGCGCTCGGCTGCTCACTGAAAGGTTGGCAGTTTGAACCCACCAGCTGCTCTGTGGGAGAAAGACCTGGCAATCTGCTCCTGTAAAGATTACAGCCAAGAAAACCCTATGGGGCAGTTCTGCTCTATCACATGGGGTCACTATGAGTCAGAATCAACCGGACAGCACCTGACAACTACAGGGTGGCACCAGGCACGGTGGAGGCACTCACAGCATGGCTGGAATGAGCTCCCTGAGGCCAGGGACCTGGGCTGGTTAGCATGGTTTCCCCTGGGAGGCCAGCGCAGGTGACAGCTATCCCAAACGTCCTTTGTCACCCTGCCCTCCATGACAGTGCTTCTGTGACTCTCTTCCAGCCAGTAAGCTGGAATCCCGAGCAGCTCTGAACCAAGCCCTGGAAATGAAGCGCCAGGGCAAGCGGGGCAAAGCCCACAAGCTCTTCCTGCACGCCCTTAGGATGGATCCAGACTTCGTGGATGCGCTCAACGAATTCGGCATCTTCTCGGAAGAAGACAAGGACATCATCCAGGCAGATTACTTGTACACCAGGGCGCTGACCATCTCGCCCTACAACGAGAAAGCACTGGTCAACCGAGACCGGACACTGCCCCTGGTGGAGGAGATTGACCAGAGGTATTTCAGCATCATCGACAGCAAAGTGAAGAAGGTCATGTCCATCCCCAAGGGCAACTCAGCCCTGCGCAGGGTCATGGAGGAAACATACTACCATCACATCTACCACACGGTGGCCATCGAGGGCAACACCCTCACGCTGTCGGAGATCAGGCACATCCTGGAGACCCGCTACGCCGTGCCGGGGAAGAGCCTGGAGGAGCAGAACGAGGTCATCGGCATGCACGCAGCCATGAAGTATGTCAACGCCACCCTGGTGTCCCGCATAGGCTCCGTCACCATCAGCGACGTGCTGGAGATCCATAGGCGGGTGCTGGGGTATGTCGACCCGGTGGAAGCCGGCCGATTTCGGACAACCCAGGTCCTTGTGGGACACCACATCCCTCCCCACCCTCAAGATGTGGAAAAGCAGATGCAGGAGTTTGTACAGTGGCTCAACTCGGAGGAGGCCATGAGTCTACACCCAGTTGAGTTTGCAGCCTTAGTGCACTATAAACTAGTGTACATCCACCCTTTCATCGACGGCAACGGAAGGACTTCACGCCTCCTGATGAACCTCATCCTGATGCAGGCGGGTTACCCGCCCATCACCATCCGCAAGGAGCAGCGGTCCGAGTATTACCACGTGCTAGAAGTTGCCAACGAGGGCGACGTGAGGCCTTTCATCCGCTTCATTGCCAAGTGTACTGAGACCACTCTAGACACGCTGCTTTTTGCTACAACCGAGTACCCGGTGGCGCTGCCAGAAGCCAAACCCAACCATTCTGGGTTCAAGGAGACGCTCCCCATGAAGCCCTAGTGTACTCTGTCACTTCTCCCTTGGTCGCAAAGGTGGCCTGAGAATAATCAAAGAAACTTCGCATTTCTAGCAACCTAAGGCTCCCCACGCAAAAGGAGACCTCAAACATTCTTTACTGCCAATTATTTTTGGTTTGAGTTAAAGAAACTAAATTATTAAGGCTGTCTCTAAGATAATTTATGATTTTACCCACTTATTTATTTTCCTCTCTGGAACAAGCTAGTAGATATTGTTGTGTTTGCTGGGTCTGTGCTGTTGGCCACTGTTAGCGTGGTGGCCCCCGCAGGCCTTGCGGGCGGTTAAATGCCCCTTATGTGACCAGAACACAAGGTTCTGGAGCAGAATTTGCACTAAGGTTGAGGAGGGAAGCCAGGGGCTGTGGGAGGAGGCCCAGGAGAGCCATAGGGATCATGCCACCAAGTCTTTCTCTCAGGCTTTTAACTGGGAAATGAGCACTTCTGGGGAGAACCCAGTGCAGCTTTGGAGAAATGACTGAAAGCTTGCTTTCTTAAAAGTTTTTGCTCCCCTGCAAAGAAATGCGTGCTGTGACTAATTTTTGCTGGCAGAGCAAACTTTTGAGATAGGAGAATAAAATTAATGTTAGCAACATTTCTAGTTGGATCCCTTGCTTCTTTCCAGAAGTCTTTGAGCCATAGTTACTTTGCAGACTTTAATGCCAGAGGCAGTTATTTTTCCATATCAAGAGTATTTTTCTAATTTAGAGCAGGGGAGTGGCCAGCTGCAGTTTCTTTGTAAAGCCATGTTTCTTTCACTTGCAGCAACTTGGACCAGGTGTTTCCTTTTCGTCTAAAAGTTATCTGTGTTTGTCACTCAACAACTGAACTCAAACCAGGTATTTGTGCAGGTGGGCAGGTCTGTCCTTGCCCCCTACTGAGTTTTTTACAGGTAGATGTTAAAGAACACATCTGAGAACAGAGAGGCCACGTCAACACTGAATAAGCATTTTTGATAATGAATGAGGGCTGGTTTCTGCTGAACCAGGTAAAAATCTTTGGCCATAGCCAGTCCTTATCCTTCTGTCCTACAGCTGTGTCCACTCAGTGGCCCACCCCCTGCAGCTCCCACAGACATTGTCCAGTCCCCTGCAGCTCCCACAGACATTGTCCAGTGTCCTAGGGGAGGCAGAAGAGCTTGTCCCCAAGTGGCCTTATTTTTCTAGCAACTTGTAAAATGCTAAAATGTTATATGGAATGCAGCCAAGTTGTCATTTTATGGAAGTAGGGAGAATCTTCTCTTTCAATCACATATGGCACAGGTGCCAATACAGCTGCTGCTATTTTGAGTCCAAATGGCCAGAAATCATTGGGTTCCTTTTCAAGTAACAGGACCCGTGATGTTTAACACTGTTATTTCACTTTGCTAGTGTTGGAATGATGGTGAATATACACACACAGTGTTGTCTCTGTGGTTTGAGGGTCCAGTTCCTGACAGTAAGTTTACTGCTCTGACGTAGCCTACGTTTATACAATTATTCAGATGTATAATTGGCACATTTAGAGTATTCTGAAAGTTTACGGAAAATAAATGAAAAGATGTGTGAAATGACCCCAGGTGATAGTTACTGAAACCTTTATAAAAAATGTTTTTGTACTTCTACGCTGCCACAAGGTATTTCTTAAACCTTAACTCTTCTGTGGTCTTGGTTTCATGAGCACACCAAGAAAGCCTGACACAGAGGGCTTGCTTTGTACTGTAGAGCGAGAGAAATATTGCACTTTAGCTACATGTGAAGGATATTATTTTAACAAATTACTGATTCTAATAAAGTATTTTATTATGTAAATGCCTGAGAGTTTGCTGTCTTATTCGATCGATGTTCCCATTTGTCATGAAGGGGAGATTATTTCAGAACTTGAGCCCTGTTCTTTTTTTCTGGGAGGGGACGGACCCAGGACGGTAATTTAAATAGGTAAAATGTGACAAAACTCACTCACTGGATGAGGGGCTTATCTGTGTTGCTAGGGTTGAATTACTGATTTTTCATTAGTAACTGAAATGGTTTCTCGTGTTTGTTTACCATCAGTCTTGATTTTCTGGGGAAACACATATACCCACTTGTACGCTCCTGAAAATCCATTTCTAGAACAGTCAACATCTCGAGACTCAATTGGGTCCTGCTCAACGTGGAGGTAGTTCACCCCTGTAACGAGCCTGTGTTGACATCTGAGAGTATGAAATGAGGTTAGAGTATTGGCCAACAGTGAGAGAACAAAGCGGATAAATGTGTAGCAGCAAAAAGTAAAGCCACATCCACCTGTACTACAATGTAAACACACACTCTTCAAGTGTCGAGTCCCTTGGCACCAGGGCTGACCGTATGGCCAGACTTCAGTAGGGAGGTAAGGGGACTACCCCAGAGAGCACACAGGAGGAACCAATGTTACTACTGCACAGGCTCCACTGACCTGTACCAAGGGCCACTGTTTGAATTTAATGCAGGAGTAATGTCCAACAAATACACTGCAAGGGGGAAAAAATAGAGAAAGACAGACAGAGAACCCTACAGGTCAAAAGACTTAAGAGGCTTAGCAGCCAATCATACTTTATGGGGAGGGAAAACTGACATTTGAGATGAGAAAATCTGCCATTTGCCCGGAGAGTTGAGGACATTAAGGACATTACAGTATTATTGCTAATGTCTGTAGTGTTAGGATAAAACTGGGTCCTTTTAGAGATACATGCTAAGATATTTATGGATAAGTGCTATGATGTCTGGGATTTGCCTCTATGATAGAAAGAGGGGAAGTAGTGGAGGTAGAGATGAAGATGGGGTACGAGCTGAGAAACACTGAGGCTCAATGACAGGCTCACAGGAGTTTATTATACTATTCTGTCTACTTTTGTATCTGCTTAGAATTTTCTATTAAAAATTTTAAGTTACAGTAAAAGCCTGATTGATGCATAAAACCTTACAAAACAGAGAAATCAGGAGTTGATTTCCATGGCACATAAAAGGATTCCCTGATTTTTTTTTCCCCAAGTGCCTTTATAAAGTAAGCTTACCCTACTCAACTGCCAATGCTGCTCTCAAAGTGATAAATAGTTGATAAAAGATAAACGGTAAACAAGCTTAAAAGCTAAAGGGTCACATCGCTCTAAACTGAAGTTTAAAACTGAAGACAAACCACAGCTGAAAAAACTTAAGAGTGACAACAGGATTTGACTTACAAAAAATTCTACTTACACATCTATTAGGTAAAGCAAGGTACACTCGTTTCAAAATACATCTACATGTGAATGAACATCTTCTACCATCTGGCAAGAAGTCTGTAAGAGAACTTCAGTTTAATAAACAAAGCTAAATGGGGAGAATTTAACTTTGCACTTGACATGGTATTTATTTAAACAAAACCAAAGGGCTGAAACTCAGTATTTAGACAAAGAACACAGGTCACTAGTCACTAGGCAAAGAAAATGGTCCACAGCAGGTAGCATACAGAATTCTTATATAAAACCGTCGCCAGCATTTTGCTTTTAGGAAACATAAACAATGCGTTGACAGGTCATTTACAAATTCATAATATAAAAATGCACAGCCCCCTTAAACAAAAATCCATCAACTGTTTTTTATGTGACCTCCCCTGTTCCCACACCCCTTTACTAAAATAGGCCATTCTGGTGAATTACTAGCATCTGCCGTTATTGTCTTTTAAACGTTAAAAGAGTGACGGGCACATGTGCTATGCAGGGTGAAAGACAAGTGTCTTATAAAAGGGGCCAGGAGTTGACCAGAAACACTTGGACAAGTGGTCTCAAAACTGTGTTCAGGTTTCACTTCTGATTCTCACACTCTTCAAGAGACAAAAATAGCTTAGGAAACTATACCCTGTGCCCAAACTGTAGTGACCGTTCTCCCGTTGCCCTCAATATGAGGGAGCGTTAAAGACTCTTTACTTGAACACCCTTCCCTTTTCTGTCTAAACCGGGGCCAGTGAGCCGGGTGCTGCACCAGCGCCTCCGCACGGTGATCAGCGGCCCCCTGGCACGCAGCTGGTTGACTGGTGGGCTCCGGGCCAGCACGAAGTAAGGCATTTCCCTCCTCTCGCTGAGTCCCGTTCACTTTCTCAGAAGCAACTTGGCAAAATCAGCATTGGACATCTTGGGTGCCTCGGTGGCCGCTGAGGTGGCAACTGCTGGACGCGGGGCAGGGCCGTTCTCCGTCTGGGGAGCTGCGGTGCTCGGGCGCTGCAGGGCCCGAGGCAGGAGAGAGAGCTGGGTCCTTCCCTTCCCCCGCCTGGAAGAGCAAACATTCAATGTACCCTCTTGAAGAAATAATCCATGGCCCCCTGATCTATTCATGAAAATAAGCCAGCATAGTCTTAAATCACTGAAAAGTTAAAAGATGAAAAACAAGAACGATAAAGCAATCCCTGTCTCCTAAACTTTGGCTATTAGGTAAAGGTCATTTTAACAAGCTTTGCCTTCTTCAGTCTGGGCAAGAACCAGCTCTGTTCAGTGGTCACAGTTAGGGTAGCTAAAAATGGCCATAATCTTCCAGAGGCCAACTCTTCAAAGATTGGACTGGACTGTGGAACATAAAATGATACTCGTGAAGAGTGTGCTTCTTAG